AAGAGTTATACCATACTGAATCTCTCCCTACCAATCTTAAACCCTATAAATTTTTTTTTCAGAAAATGTATGGTTTTTAAATTTTGCCAATTTCTTCAGAAAATTTTCATGGGCAAAATTTGACCTAAACCAAAATTGCCTAAACTATGTGTTGGTTTTGGCCATCATTACTATATAGTCTTATTTCTTGAATTATATCTTGCATCATGAATTATGTCTTGCGGCATGGCACAACACCAATTACAGCTTTAGATGAATAAATCTTAATTATTATTTACTTCATTTAATGGAATTTATCATCAGACCCGAAACAACCCAAAATTTTTGGGTAGGTCTTGGCTTGCCTTTTAAAACATTTGGATCAAATTTGATTGAAATTTTAGGTCGGTTTTGGGCTAACACTTAATCCGCCCAAACCAGTCCATTCAGAGCTTTAATCATAATCTTGGCCTATAAAATTAGCAACCTTAAAGTATATAGCTAGTTGGTCAGTATGTAGAAATTGCATACCATACTGAAGAAAAGAAAAAAATGGTATGTAGAAAGCACATACCATACTGGGGGTGTTTGTGATATGAATTGCTATGTTGAATTTGTGATTTATTTTAGTATGGTGCATTTTCTATATATTCCTAACTGGTTTACTTTCTTATTCTTGAAGAATCCTTTATTGTTTTATTGGCTCAGGTTTTGTAATTCCTTAACTTTGATTTTCAACTCCTTTAAAGGTAAGATTATAAAATTTTTGGAAACTAACTATTATGCTTTAAAACCTTTTGACCAATTCACTGAATTTGTAAACTTAATTCTTTTTTTTAAAAGATATTTATATGGTATATCATAAAGATAGTTGTTCTAGTTGTGACACTTGCATACTTCATGAAAAAGGTATGTTCAAAAGTATGAGTATCAGACTTAGAAGGCAGTATTTTTTCTTTATCCAACATTAGACCTAATTCTAAAGGTCATTATGCTATAACTACCAAAAGACATATCAATGATATATGGGAAATCATAAGGCACAACACACGTACATACAACACACAAAAAAAAAGATGCCAAGTAGAAACTTCTTCACCACCACTTGGATAACAATGTGACGGATAATTGTCCTACATGGAAGAGGACATAACTAAAATCACCATGCATGGATTTATTTTCCAATTTTACTTGTGAGGACATTATGTGATTTTCCCAAAATTGGTTCCTTAAAAAGTTTTGTTTCTAGTACTAGTATTATATTACTTGGGTGATGCAATTTATCAATTTTATTTTTTTATTTTTTTATTATTTTTTTTTTATGGTTTAATAAAATCAAATTAATTGATATAATTGATTTTTTTTATTTTTAACAAATCAATAAATCAATTGAATTAATGATATTGATGATGACGAAAACGATAGATTGTTTTTTTAGATGTATCATGCATGCACTTGCTAAACATTCTGGTTGTTCATAAGATGCTTTGGGAGCACCAAAGGCATTAAAAAATTTGGGTATTCGTATGCATCATTAGATGAGGCAACAACAACAAATTTTTTTATTAATTAATTTTTGGTAAGCGTTATTTAGAGCAGTTGTTGATATATCAGGAAGACCATTTGCAGATATTAACCTTGAATTGAAACGTGAAAAATTGGAGATTTATCAACTGAGATGTTGCCAGATCTTTTGCTACAACACCAGAAGTGACGTTGCATGTTGATTGAAAATAAAAAATGATAATCACAGGTTTACTTTTTTTTTAGAATTTATGAATAAATAATCAATGACTTTCCTTATACTTTACTTTTATTTATTTAGAACTGAATCATCTTTAAAATACTTGCTATAGTTTTATTCCAAGCAATTAAGTAACTGGTACTAACGATATACCCAGTACGAATAGTGTATTACGATCTTAACCATCAATCATCATCGTAATGTAATCTAAAAATCATGCTTAAATTTTTAATCTTTAAATTCCAAACATTATAATTATTGAAGAAAAAAAAAGATATTTTGTTTATTGTTATTCTATTATTACAATTACAATTGTGATGTTTTTAAAAGAAAAAGTAAAGTATATATATATGTATGTATAAATTTACAACTCCCCTTGTTTTTCCCGCAATATATTGTGAATTTGTATTTGTGTATATAAATAAATAAATAAAATATAA